GATTTCTTCGTGCAATCTAGAGCAAAAAAAGTGCGGTTGGTAGTTCGTTACGCATGCGGGACTTCCTTGGTTTCATACTATGTCGCTGTGCAACCCTAACATTCTTCCTTTGGTGAGTTGACTTTGCTTAAGACGGCATTGCTGATTACTTCCTCTCCTCCTGCTGAGTTTTCTTTTCAGAAATTGAAGATACAAAATCTGTGCTTTGTCTTGATTCTTCTCTTGGCTTTGATCCTGTTGGAGGGATGGGTGCAGTCATGATCACTTCTCTGCCTGCTGGGCCCTGCATATTCTGAGCTAGCAATGAATAGGCTGTGAACGTTTAGTATCCGACACTTGGTACCGTCTCTGCTGAGACTCACAAGTTGTGTGAGGAGAGTTTAGATTCTGCTTCCGGGAATGTTTCATGAAGGTCCTGGAGTCAGGGGAAATGTACTCTAAAATGCTTGCAGGGGACAATCCGGGCTGTTAGACTTAGCTCTGCACTGCTCGTCTACTCTCCTGTCCTGAGGTGAGAGTTGTGCCCATGTTGGCTTCCAGCCCTAAGAGAAGGGACGCAGGTGTAGTTCTGGCAGAAAGCGCTCAAAGCCGCCTGCGGTGCTGTAGCTGGCTGGGGAGCAGGACCTGGTGCTCCTCTTGGCATTTATTGTTGTCTTGAGGTAGAAACTTGAGTAAGGTCATTTATTATTGAATCAATGCGTGTCAGAGCTTGAGCTGAAGAGAATGTTAAAAGGTAGACGAGCACCAGCTTTGTGGTAGCATGTCTAGTCTTGGGTAAATTGTGGAAATGGTGCCACAGAGTAAAGAGCAGGGCAAGGGTTGGCAGTGGTCAAGTAAGAATTAAGTGCTATTTAAATCAGGTCAAGAAAAGAGAAATGGGTCCCCGTACAATTTTACACAAATTCTATAAACTTAAGAAATGGGGTATCTAGGCCTGCACGAAGGTAAAAGCACGGTAGATACTTTAGCAAGTTTTTGGAAGGAAGATGATGAGTGGGATGCTGCAATACCTGTGTGCAACAGGTACAAAAAGGGTACTGAACAACTCTATACTTAAAGCAACAACGGAAAAACCTTGTAGTCAAATCACATTTCTTGCTGAGCAGCTTAATTTGTTACTACAGGATTCCTGTGGAGCGGATTCAAGGCTTGATTCGGGGAGTGGGAGTTATTGGGGCTGTGTTACTACTTCCCGATGGAGCTGGTGACAGACACTGCCCTGCACAGGGTTTTCGGTGTACTTGCGAGGGCATGAAACGTGGTGGTAGCAGGAAACTTGACTAAACTATATAGCAGAACAACTAAATACCGTACATGCCATCTTTGTCCCTTTGTGATTCATCATGAGCTTGTCTGGAGTAGGCTTTAGACCTTTCCCAACAGTTGTAAATCGAATGTGACTTGAAACACCAGGTGGATATTTTGGAGCTACAGGGTTTATTAGTGTGTAAGTAACAGTTTTGCAGACTAATGCCAGCGATGCACTGTATAATAAATCAAAAAGGAGATCTCTGGTTATGACTTCTCTGACTTTAAGCCACCAAGGTCTTCGTGTCCTCAAAACAGGTGATTGGACTAGTTTTCAGCTTAAGGGATCAGTGGTGAACCTGTAGACTTCCTGAGGATGGGCAAAATAGCCAGTCATTTAGCTGCTGTGAGATTTGGGACTGATAATCTCTCAGTGCGGTGGTGCTCTCAAGGACAGAGGATTTATTTGCCAAACATAGTGCAGGCTGCACCTGGATTGCATCATCGTGTGGGGCTAAATATTAAGTGCTACTGGTTGAATTCATTGTAAGTGGGGAAGTCTGTTTACACAGATCTTCTTACACACTGCCGGTTTCAGTACTGAAAAGCTTGACATGTCTATTTTTCTTCTTCACAGACTCATTTTATTGTAATGCCTATGTGCCTTCTTCCAGGGAAGAATCTTAATGCTGCTCAGGTGTTTTCTATGCACTTGCTCTCTTGATTCCAAATTGTTTTGGGCCTTGGTATCTCCCTTTTAATACTTGTGTGGCTTTCCCCTTGAATCAGTATTGGCTTTTGAACACTCATCTCGGATGAACCCCAGCATCCCTGGGTGGAAGGCATGTATTCTAATTCAAGGCAAGGCATGAAAATAAAATTTCTCTTTGGAAAATTAAGAGCTTTTTGAACTCTTGCTGGGTGGAAAACTGGAAGTGCTGTGAAGACGGTCTGTGTGGCCCTGCTACTCTCAAGGGAAAAAGGAAGATTTGAGCCTTGGTGGCTCAACCACTTTACAAATCTTCCTTTTAGAAAACTGGGCCTGAAAACACCTAAATTAATCTCTAGCATGTGCTCAGAGATCTACCTTTTAAAAGGCTATTCTCTCTACAATGTCACATCCAGCCCCAGCAGAAAAGTTGCATGGTTTCTAATGAGAGCTTTGTGCTGAGACTGCTGTGGGTTTAAAGCTTCCTGTCTGCCATCTGCAGGGAAGTCACAACGAGCTGTCCTCGCCCGTGCCGCTGGCCCCGGCAGCACTGTGGCCCTGGCACACGCCTCTGGGGTTACTGCAACGCCACTCCCCATGTTCTGGAAGACGCCAGAGGAAGCATCTTCTTTGTCCTAACGAGTCATTAACATTGTGTTCCAGAGTACTTTCTAGCTCAGGAATTTACCTGAGAAGTGAAATTAATAACTTTTTTTTTTTGTCACTTTCTTTGATGGTGCTGCAGAAGTTTTTTGGTAGTACAGAAGGGTGGGAGAAGTTGCAATGTTGCTTCTCAGCATGCTTCCTCTAATGTAGTTCTATATTGCTATTCGTAGCAGTTCAGTTTTGTCTCACAGATCTTACGTAAAGTATCTTTCTCATAAGTGTTCCCAATCTTGATATCCCAACTCCCCTTTATATCAAATGTCAGCCTATCTTGGAAAGAGGGCCCCTTATAGTATTGATTTTTTGCAGAGGTCTAAAGGTTGTTGTTGGGATCATCTATCAAGTAGATGGCAATGGTATGAAAAACAGAACTTGGCTCCCAAGATTTTTATTGTGGTGCTTTGGCTATAAGATCATCCTTCCCTCTTTGCAAAGAAACTCGAGAGAAATTAAGTTCTTCATTTCCCCATATACCTCTTGCAGCTGAGCCTTGTTCTGCTTCAGTCGGTAGGATTTATTTCTTCACCTAAATAAGGGACCGCTGGAGACAAGGTTCCCTGTTTCACTTCACCCGTAACAGAAAGCATCTTTCTGAGTGGATCATACTCACCCCCTGTGCAAAGCTCAATTTGTCTTGTTTCCTTCCCACATGCCAACCTGTCAAGATGGCGCAGCCTTTGCTGCTCTTAGGAGTCGTACCACTCTGTGTTGCACGTGGACTAGTCGTTGTAGAGATAGATTGTACAGTCCAAGACCATGATGAATTCTTTAAGGTTTCCATAAAGCATTGCTTCAGCCTCGCCCAGTAGAAGGCGTTATTCTAGAGCGCTATTAGTAGAAGAGGCGATTAGTGTGTCTTTAAGTGAATGGTGCCAATGGGAATGGCATGTTAGGCAGGGCAGCTGCAAGCTCGGCCTGAAACACAACCACCCTTGAAACCCTATCTCTACTCCACTGACCCACGCAGGCTGACTTCATACGGTTGACTGACCGTGCAGGTTGCGTCAATGCCTGAAATGTAACTGCTTCCTGGCAACGGGGCAGATCCTGCCTGTATGACTGATAACGTGTTACTCGAAGCAGGGGAGAAATTGCATTTATGCATCTTTTCTGTAGCTGACCATGGAGGACTGGACTGGGCGGGTCCCTCTCGTGCCTGCGTCCCGGGTTACCCGAGTGGAAAGTGTTCGCTTTTCTCTTCGTGCTAAATAAAGGTCTGGGGGGGTTCCAAATTGCTATAAAAAAATGAAAATGTGAGATGACGTTTCCCAAGGTTGCTTTGCAACAGAGCCTGTTATCTGTGGGGTGGGAGAATCCTCTCTCAACTTGGATTTCCCCGCAAAACACGCTTCCAACTGTTACACTCCCAAAGTTTTAGGCAGGATAGTCTCCTCTTCATGGTAGATGAAGCTGGGTCCCAACGGCTCATTTACTCTAGCTTTATCCCTTGCAATCACAACTGGCTGCCAGTGCAGAGCTTTACCTTGTGCCCCTTGGTCTAAAACGCCCCAGGAGATGGAGGAGCTCCCTGGAGCAAGCTCCTGTGCTGCAGTGCCCGGAAAACATTTCTCAAAAAACAGCCTCTCTTCTTTTCCTAAGTCCCTGCCGCTGCTACGAGCCACAGCGGGAGAAGGGGTGACCTTTTTCCTTTTTTTGTTGGGTGAAAGTCACTCTCTTGCAGGAGAGCAGAGCGGTGCGGAGCCCCACGTGTGGCTCGAGCTCGCTGCGATAATGGTTGTTTTCCCCTCTCTTTTCCCCTCCTCGCACTGCGCCGGGCTTATCTGGGCGCCTGAGTTATGTTAAGTAGCGGGTGCGTGCTTGCTCTCTGTTCTCCTCGCTGCTTTTGCTCCTTGGATTTCAATTCCAAACATGGTTATCCATTTGGGGTCTCTCTTCTTTCCGCTGCCAAGTGATACACATTCCACACTCCACACCAGCTCCTTCCGCTGCTCTCTCACGGTTGCTATTTCCATTTGCCGGAGGGCAGGCGAGAGAGGCAGTGCAACGAGATCTCTGCCCTGGTTGTGAGTTTTTCAGCTAATGGCCTCTACTTGTTCTTTGACTGAGCTCTTTTGGCCTCATATTTGCCAGCTCCTTTTCTCACTGGTGTGGCTAAGGAGGGGACCAGTCGCCGGTTTGTGAGCCACAAAGAGGAGAAACGAGCCCTTTTGGGATTTTTTGGGTGCAAAAACGTTCGGCGGCACTTTAATATGTCGCTCTGAAGCGTGCTGCTGTGGGACCGGCTGGCGCTCAAGAGGAGGAGGAGGAGGAGGAACGGCTACCCAGCAGCTCTGATTTCAGACCTCTGCAGCACCCGTTGTGTATGACAATTCATTCTGAGCGCAGGATGGCCGGGGAGGGTGGGGAGTGGGGAAGAATGAGTGCAAGCAGCCTCTCTTGGGACCAGGCTGTTCTCCAGCCTCCGGTGTGCGATGCCTGGAAGGAGATTGTGGAAGGAGCAGCCTACCAGCTGGCCAGCTGCATCGTCCTCCTGGGTTACATGGGGGGAAGTGGCATCTTTGGGTCCCTCTATATCTTCGTGTTCCTGGCCCCAGGCTACTTCTGCTATGCTCTGTGGGGCTGGCTGAGCGCCTGTGGGCTGGATATCTTCATCTGGAACATGCTGCTTGTCCTCGCCTGCTTGCTTCAGCTAGCTCACCTGGCTTACCGGCTCCGCAGAGACACCATCCCAGAAGAGTTTGACCTCCTCTACAAGACCATGTACCTGCCCTTGCAGGTGCCCCTGGACGTCTACAAAGAAATTGTGAAGTGCTGTGAAGAGCAAGTCCAGTCACTAGTCAGAGACCAGAATTATGCGGTGGAGGGCAAGACGCCCATCGACCGCCTCTCGTTGCTGCTGTCTGGCAGGTAAAGGCTCTCCTGTTTCTGAACAAAGTCTGATAGCAAAGCGCTGTGGCTTATTGTTGTATTTTCACCCTCTGTAGAAACTGGGCTGAGGATTGATTCCTTCCTCTAAAAGGGCTTTGCGATATGCATCTGTTTGTTGGGGAGGGGGTGATTTGCTTTTGGGGGTTGTTTTTGTTTTCTTTTCATTTTCTAAATTAGAATATTTCAGGGAACAGTTTGCAGAATCAAGCTTTGTGCAGTGAAGCGGCCAGCTCAGCCTTGCCCGTGATACTGTTGGGGAATCCTTACCCCTTTCTTTGTCATTCTAAAGTGATCTTATTTCTGATGGGAGCAGACCGGCTGTGAGAGAGTGTTTCTCAAGGCAGGAAGGCAGTGGGTCTGGACCTGTGGTCTCTGGGGGTAGCAGACACACCTCAGTGATGTGAATGGCCGTGCGCTGAGTACGCTGAGTCCTAGTTCACCTGTCCCCCTGGCCGGCAGTGTTCAGGGAGAGGTTCCACCCCTGTTCCGAACACCTCAACCCTCAGGGCTCCAAAATGTTTCGCTTTGAGGGTCATTTCGTCAAAAGAGAGAGTGCTCTCCTGTGGTGGATCCTGCCTCATCAGGTCTCTTTCTTTCCCTGTGCTGTCATGCATTCATGATATTCCTTCCTCTGGACAACCAAGGAGGACCTCAGGGACCTCTAGATAGTCACACTGGTGATTTGAGTCAACTATGCTGATGAAGGACTGGCATTTGTTCACCTGAGATCCTGTGGCATGCCTTTATAAGCATATCTTTTAATGATTTGCAAAAGCCAGATGCGTACAAACGGTAATGATATTGGCTTCCCAGCTGCTGCCAGGCACTTGGCACTAATGTCAACTGAGAGTGGGAAAGGAAGGGGATCTGTAAACGGGGGCAGTGCTGAGCCACAGGAGGTGTGTCTCACAAGGATTTTCCTTTGGGAAGACAAACCCAGCATCACCTGGGGCTCATGTTTTACTGCAGTGGTCCATCCTCTCTGTTGAGGGGGGTGTAAAGAAGAAGGGCTGTCCTTCCTTTTTTTGCCGTTTGTCCCTTTTCTAAGATGTGTTAAGAGCATCCTGGGACCACTGACCAGTGCTGAATGGCAAAGCACTGGGAGGAAATTGGGTACGTGTGTTTCCATTAGGTGTCCTTCCCCTTACCAAACGTCTGTGCTGAGCAGCTTGCTCTGAAGTTTACCGTATCTGCAAATAATGTTAGCGGAGAAGAATCTGTGCTGTCTTGCCCTGCACTGGGTAATCTGATGCTGCTCTGTGGGCAATGAAGTGCTGCAATGGACAGTAAGCCAGTGCTGGTGGGGTAATTGTTCTGCTCTCAGAATTTGCAGTGGGAAGTATGCGTCTTGGCTGGTATAGGATGCACTATGGAGATGGGATTGGATTTGCATTTCCTGGTACCCACTCTATTGCCTTGTGAGGTCCTTGCTGACCCAGCAGAGCACTGCTACTATTATGGTGCCCCCTCTTAAACTGAACAACAGCAAGACAATGGGGGCTTGGAAATGCAGAATGTGCCTGGATCAGGAAACCTGCCTTGCGATCCCTGACCCTTCCAGGCAGCACTCCCAGCTGACTGGAAGCCAACAGTGTAACTCTTGAAAGCAAGAATTGCCTTTGTGCATTGTACAACGGGGGAACATGGTGACAGGGAGGCAAGAGGCCCCAAATGTGGTGGTGCAGAGCTACGAATGGCAGAGCTCCAGAGTGCCCTGACATTGCCCCAGGCCCGTGCAGCTCTCCTTCTCTGCTCCCTTGACATTGGTAGGCAGAGCTGGGTGCAAGTTCGACCTTGACATTGGTAGGCAATTGTAGCAAAAGTAGGGGAAAGGGATACTTGGGAGGCCAAGAGAGACTGAATGGTAATGTGCAGCAAACTATGAGCTCGCAGCGCAATGTGTCAGGAATGATGGCCAATGCGATTTTGGGGGGTTCTGGGTGTAACAGCTTCCCAGCATCGAGACAAGGAATGCCCTCATGCAACCCTGGGGACAGGAAGAAGATGCAAGTACAAAGAGCCACAGGCTGGCTTAGAAGTACCTGAAAAGCAGCAGCAGTCTTGCGGGCTGAGAAGTTCTGGTTTAGGACCAAGCATTGCACCTGTGAGGGTTGGCTTTGTAGCAGGAACAGAAAACAGATGGAATGTGGGGAAGCGGCAGCAAGTATCGTTTCCCACAGAGAAAGGAGGGACAGCCCCATAGACTGGAGCATCAGCAGCTGTCCCAGAGAGGGTATGAGACATGCGTGAGATGAGGAGAAGTCCTTTCCTCCCTGGTGGGACCAGCTGCCTGCACGTTTTGTGAGCTGATCAGGTTCGTGTGACATCTATTTTGTGGCCTAAGCCTGTGCGCCTCACCTGTCCTCTCTGCAGGATCCGAGTGAGCCAGGATGGACAATTCCTTCACTACGTCTTTCCATACCAGTTCCTGGACTCTCCAGAATGGGAGTCGCTGCGACCCTCTGAGGAAGGAACTTTCCAGGTAACCCCGCCCAGCTTCGCTCCTTGCTGGTTCGTTGCATGTCTGAGAAGGGGACGGAGGGGACTCATTATGCCATTCAAAGCTAACCGGGAATACTTTCCTCCCCTTCCTTGTGGTTTAGCCAGCACAGGATGGTGCGATCAGCTGTGTTATCTTTTTTTCTACCTTCCTCTGAAGACCTCAGTGCGTGCTCCTACTATCAGCTGATAGCAGGGATGGTGGAGCATGGTGCTACTTCCAGTTTAGCAGGGAGACAAGGTATTGGATTGCTGGCTGTCTTCCATTACAGCGTTCCCTAGTACCTGTATTGATGCATTTGCCCCGCACGCTGCTAGCAGGGTGCATCGTTCCAGCATCAGGATGGCAGCCATGGCAATATGCAGCAGTGATGTAAATCCATAAATATCCTGTTCCTCACAGAAGTTTCTGACGGTGATGTGTTTGGGGTGGAGAAGCAGAAAGGATGATTCACACCCGAATATGGTTCTTTCTGAGCAGAAGAATCCCTTGCTGAGAGGCCAGACCAATTCTTATTTGCAGCAACGGAAAGGATTTTGCTCTTGCTGTCAACACCCCACAGTATTTGTTTGGCTTTCCTTCTGGAGGAGATTACTTAAGCCCACATCTCTCTGCCTTTAACTCACATCCCAGGACAGGCTGATCCCTGTCAGGATGTCAATCTAGAATATGTCAGTTAGGGCATATGAGGAGGGATTTTGCTAATCCCTTGGGAGTGTGGGACAGTCATGAGGGAATGATGATGCTTTCTCATGAGGGCAGCCAGACTTGGTTAAACCAGGGCAGCTCTCCGAGTCTGCTTTTCTCGGGTCTGAATTTGGCCCATGTGTGAAAGGGTCATGGCAGTCACTCCTGAAAGCTATGCCATTGCCAGTAATTACAGTCTTGCAAGAGGAACGTCTGCAGGAGATGGCTGACGGTGTGACGGTGGCACAGGGCTACAGCTTGTGAGGAAAAATAGGGATGTCAGGCAAAGATAATGGGGTAGAGAGGGCAAGAACAGCATGGCTGTGCTAGGGATGGGGGTATCTCATGTTTTGCACAGGGCTTCAATCCGGCAGCAGGTTGCTGCTAGCTCCTGGGCTGTATTTGCCTAAGAGTCGAGCAGAGAGAATGACGGCTGCCCGGTGCTCCTGGCAGGAAAATGGCCGTCTGGATGGCATGCAACCTGCAAAGACATCCGCATCGTTTTCTGCGCTAATTTCTGTGGAACTGAGTGTTCCCAGACCTCCTGAGTGTCTTTATCTGTGGTGCGTGAGACAGCTTGGGAGCAAGCTGGTGCTAGGCTGCACCAGCCCTGCCAGCACCATGCTTTTGGCCCCTCTCCTGCTCTGCGAGACACGGCTGGTCAGGGAGGTCGGCTGCTCCTGGCACCAGGATGGGGAGGCAGAGTCCTAGGTGGGGAAAGGCTGCAGCCATGTGCTGGAAATGCCTAAAACCCGCGTCCGCTTACTGAGGAGCATGAAGAAGTAGCAGCCTGCGTGAGACCAGCATTCAGCAGGTGAGACTTGACCAGTCCATGTTCCTGGCAGGACATTACTCTTGATGGCTGTGCTTAGCCATGGTGATGTGCTGCTTTTGGCAGCTCTTTAACCCACTAGTCCCTTTTACCTGAGTAGTTGATAAAATCTGTGGCATATCTCAATCTTATTCCTAGCATCACAATCATTTGGTTAAAAAAGTGCATGTTTGACTCCAGGACTTTGCTGGAGGAGGGCATGGAAGGTTTTTCTTGCCCAAGTTTTCCCCATGGCTCTCTGGATTGAGCAGTTTCAGTCCTGAGCCCACCGAAAAATGGCAGAAGCATGACTCAGTCTACAAGGAGAGACGGTTTCCTTGAGCTTTCTGCTTTGGCGGTGTCTTCTTCCCACAGGACTGTTGGCTCCCAGTGCCTGAAGGAGTTGGGTTTCAGGGCTGGCACTTTCCCCCAGAAGGCTGAATTATGGGCTCTGCTGATGCCAGAGCACTTGTGTTGGGGGGATTCCTGACTGAAATCTGTCCTGCTGCTCTGGTTGGGAGGCAGGTTTTCTTATTACATCTCACTTAATCCCTCACGAGAAGCGGAGGCTTTTGATTGCCATGCCAGAAATTGGTTAGGAAAATGAGATTCTGGTCATTTCAGTTTCTGTGTGACCCTTCCTCTCGCTCGCCTCGGCCTGGGGAAGTTCTCAGGTTTTATCTCCTATATTTCTTTCATAAGGCAGCTGCTTGCATGGCAGTAGCATTAAATATCAAACCCAAGGACACGCACATGCAACCAAGCCGTGTTCAGCTTCCCAATGGCCCTCTGCCATGGTGGCTGGCCAAGGAGACCCCTGGATATAGAGTGAAAGGGAGCCCCCGGGATATTTTGGCTCTGGCACTTGTTCACATGCCAGTGTCTCCATTACACTCGGATGTTCTTCTTTGGCCCAAGGCAGTTTGACCCTTCCTGTGTTTCTTACCTTTTATTATCATTATTAAATTTATATATTATAATACACACTCATGTATTGTGTAATGTTTTTTATTATTAATAGTCTGGTCTTACAGGTAGGGAGAAAAATGTCTCTGCATTGGCAAAACCCAAAGCAAAATGCAATGTTCTCTAAAATCAACCCAGTAAAACCTCGAGTGAGTTCCCTACCTACACACAAACATGTTTTGGGGTTTTTTTTGTATTTTATTTCCTCTCTTGCTGAGCTGTGCCGTGCATCCTTCAAGGCCATTCAGCCCTACAGCACCCGGCAGAGCGGACAAGACAGGGTGTCCCTCTGGCACAGGGTGACCTGGCAAGCCTTCCAGGTGGCCCTGCCCATACCCAGGGCCTTCTTGGAGTAGGGGGTGTGCGACCC